TTCGTTTTTGACCGCTCACTGATGATCCGATTTCTGCGCTGTTTCTCGCTAGCATTTACAGGATCTGTTGTAACTGTCGTCTCCTGCAAACAACACCACGCTATCAGTAGAAATTAGATGACTGAGCTGTTGTCATTGATATTAATCTGGCGCTTCCATTTCACCTCCAGCAAAAACATTACTTCCAAACAGGCAGAGAAGAGTTTCGGTGAGGTGGTGTTCCCTTATTTTACTCCCTCCTTTAAGCAAATCCGAAAGGGGGTGGAACAGCATGATAGTTGTGAAGCAGCCAGCGATCGCTTCCTTTATAAGGTTGATGATGCAAGTGTTGATACCCTGGTCTGCCAGTGCAGTCCACACTGCGTTGCAGTCGACACTGCACACCCCTTTTTCGTACTGGACGAAGGCGATGTGCAAAGAAAGTTTGTTTTTCATCTCGCTCTCGAAAGGATGGTTGAAATTAAAGTTGTACTGTAACTCCATTCGAATTCGCTTCTCCTTGATAGTCTGTTCGTGATGAACTTTGTGAACAAACAGCGACAGTTCGCCTAAACTTTTTTTGTCGCCCTTCTTTAACAGAACATTAGTTTTTGACATCAGCTGAATTTTATCTTTCTAGCTATCCACCTTGATCCTTCCGTTATCAGGTAGCAACTAAGTCTCTCAACTGGAACCCTCCACGGTGCCTGATCAGCTGCTGCGATGTTTTCGATTGTCAGACTGTCTCTCTTAGAGGTCTTTCTTTTTTCGTTTTCTGTGCGACATGCTGAACGTTGCTTCTAAGCACCGGAACCTCAATTCCTTCTTGCTGTGACTTGATGGTAGAGCGATGCGTGTCTCGCACGCAAATTGCTGAGTGTACAACTTAACACGGATTGGCGCATCTGAAGTCTGTCAGTCGTTAAGATGCCATTCCCATTTTGCAAAGTCGTGACGGTCGAATGATAAAGCGCTAATTCGCTCCTATCTTCACTTCTTTTTTTTTCACTTTTCGCAGTCGGAAGGTTTGGAAGTTTTTCTTTACTTTTCGAAAAGAGAGTACTCCACCGTGTCAGTCCCATCTTTCGAAAACTACTTCCCGCTCTAGCAAACTTTTTGTTTCTTTTGATATCATTCGTTGCGCTTTCTTTGATATTGTCATCTGGCTAACTTTACGCGGAGCCTCAGTTTCTCGACGAAGGGTTTTCGTTTTCGTCTTCGTCACTTTTCAGGCTCAAATCTTTTTTAGAAATGTTTTTTTGAGGACCCCCTCGTTTAGTACGTTTTGTCGTTGTTTGCAATCAAACATATGCAGTACCTTCCTCATCATCTTCTCCTCGAAGGTTCACCTGGCCTATGCCAGTCTTTACTGACTGCCGATGTTAAATGCTGACGCAATTCGAATGCTTCGGATGATACACGATTTATCGATTTCGTTATTCGTCGCCACGTTGGGCGCAATGCCTGTCCACCTGTTACTTCTCTTTTTGAAGCAGGTTTTGTTAATGTACGAGTGTTTTGTTCTTGCCACGATCACTAGCTGATCTTCTCGTACATTTCGCTTTCTGATGCTGTACCGGCCAACGAAGTTTTCATCTACCCTCCCTCGTCCGACCAGACATTGAAGTCCCCATGAGGGGGTTACTTGGACTTTTGGACAAATGTCTGTTCCAGTTCTTAATGGGATTCCACCTATGTTTATTGCACCCTTTCCTCTTCCTAGCCAAGTCTAACTATAACCTTTCTACACGCCGTTCATCTTTATCCCCCGTAATGTATCGCAGATGCAAAGATTGTCGCAGGTCAGCTCTGAACCGTTTTCCGTTAGTCTGTTAAACGTTTCTTCCCTCGTCAATGTTCCACAGTTGTAGATGCAGACGTTCAGGAAAAT